GTTTTTTTGTTATTTATATTTAAGGAAATTAAAATTTTTTATTTTTTTTAGAACTTTCCTCGTTTTTTGTTTGAAAGTACAGTGTTTTGTGGAAACTTACAGTTTGTTGAAATCAAAAAATTTGGAAACACTGATTCTTATTTAAACTTATTTCGATTGGATTCGCTTGAAACCCTAAAATTTGGGGATCTTAAGGTCAGCGACTTTATGAATCTGAAATCAGATTTTGTAACTCAAAATGGTGGATCCATATTGGATTTACCATTTATCACGTAAAAGTTCAAATCGAACGTACATACATGGCGTATGAGTAACATTCTCATCTCGTCTGGATAACTCATACGCCATGTATTTACGTAAATTGCAGACATTCGCCAACTATGTAAATATTTATTTCGTCATATCCAACTAGGCTATTTGGTTCCTCCACAGCAAAACTTGGTAATTATAACTTAACCTTTTTCGGGGTATAGTACACTATTTGTAAGTTTCTACGCCCTAATACAAACTATATAAAGAAATATTTTACCACTATTGCTACTACTCTGTAGTTATGCATGTATCATAGAACTGGTCAGGTTCTGAAAAGTCAACTCATTTTGTAGCTGAGCTTAACTGTTAAATATGCATCTAAAAACAGTGAGTTCAGTTTCCCAAATATCTAATATATTTAAATTAAGCTTCACTGTGCACACACTGGGCAAACAGAAGAAGGCAGATATCAGGTAATGTACAGATAGTGAAAATAAATATTAAAAACAAGCATTGTTTAACAATATCACACCTACTTGACAACATATGTAGATAACCTTACATATGTGCATACATATGTATACTAATGCTTTTCTTATCAGCTTATCTGATAACTTGTCATAGAGGAAGTGGTTTACTGTTTCCCAAAAATTTTCCTAGTAGAAATGGCAAACTGGTTGTAAGAATTTATGTCCGCCGTTACAATAAAGTATGTCGCATTAGATGCCTGTGCTTGATACACGTAAAGCATATCTTAAATTTTGATTAGAACTAATACTTATGTTTATTTGCTTAAATTTATTTTTAGTTAAAAAATAATTGCGTCGTAGGCTTAAAAACGAACCACTTTTTTCTATTATTTATGTATAAAGGAAAGTAATAATCTGTGGGCAATATTAATTTTATGAAAGTTATATGTATGTATGTATGTATATCAGACGATACATTTAGTATGGAAATAGTCAGGAAAATTGAATGACGTCAAACGGGTAAAAATAGGTAATATAAAAATTAGCTTAAGGAAGGTACATAGTTATGCAAACGTACATACATAAGGCCACGTACTTTTTGTGTGATATGACTTTAACTGCTTTGTTTATTTACTTGTTTGCAACTACACATCGCATACATACCTACAAACGTACCAAGTGCATACATTTGTAAGCGTTTATATGATATTGATTTGAAGATTACCACCCACTGAGTGGCCGCACAAGTGCAAACACTAGCACACTTTGATTTATGGCTTTCGATTGTATGAACCCAGTAAAAAACTGGTTTAAAGAGAAATTGATTTTCTACTTTTAATTTGGCAAGTCAATCGTTTTTCGGTTTTGGCCGAGATAAAAAAAATTCGCCAATTGCCTCTCTCCTTTGCGGGTTCGGGTCAGTTGTTCAACCCTAATGCAGGCAGGTCCTTCCATTGTGTTCGTGAGCATCCCAGCTTTCGTTTCACAGCCATGGAACCCCAAAATCTTCTCATATTTGTCCACCTCCAGATAGATAAAACCTCCAAGCAGTTAAATATTTCACCAGTACTTAAATTTTTCAGTTCTCGCATCATCATTTTAAAATCAGGCTTTCTCCCTTGAATAGCATAACGATGAAAAAATATGAACATTTATTTATACTGCAGAGGTTACCATATATCATTAGAACCCTTGAACATTTTTTCAAGAAGAGAGTAGCTAAAGATTTCTACCACCCTTTACTCGAAATGTATAGCATACCACTGAGCTCAAAAGAGAAATTCTTCATATTCAAGTCATGTATTTTTTATGCTTTGGTCGTAAAGCTTTTTTTCAAATTGCAAAACAAGAGCTTTTGATTGCAAAAGTGCAGCAGCTGATTTGAGCTAGTTTTAACCATCCAACAAAACACCTCGGACAAATAGGGCTGATTATTGGCGCAGAAAAATTGATGCTATGGTACTTCCTTGAGTCCAGAACAATTTGGTAAACAGAAATGAACATTCCAAGAGGACTCCGCTCGTGCTTACACCGCGCAACAGTCAATTTTACGCACACAGAAAAAATCAATATATACCTTATTGACGCCACAAATGAGAAAACCTTGAATAATTGATCCCGTCTGGAACACACAATATGTACACAAATGTTCTAGCAATTTGTTTTATTCAGTTAAGCTTAGAACTCCATCGTAACCAAACCAAAGCGCATGTATGTAGTTCTTTTAATATTCCACAGAAATAAAACTAATTAATAAATTTTTCATTGCCACCAATCAATCACCATCATCGACCATTTTCATTGCAATAGGTCATTATTAAGTAGGTATGCACATTTATTTCCTATGAAGATATCAACTCACCCACTCGAGCGTGGGCAATGTACCTGTACTACATACATAGCTCCACATGTATATATAAACAAAACAAACATTTATTTTTTTTATTGTATTTTTATGACTGATTATTTTCAACCAAGTATATGACAGCATATGCCTTTATTTTAGTGTCTATGTGTGTGTTGGCGCATTTAATCAGCCAATTTCATGCACTGCGTAATGAATATTCACCTTTTAGAAAACGTTATCAATTGCGCTTTTGAATCGTGCTTACAAACAAGCCCATGTATGTATGTATGTATGCATGTATGCGTGTACATAAATATTATGTTTTTGTGTATGTACTTATTATTAAGTACTCAAAAAAAAACAAAATAATGCTTAAATAAATGATGTGCATAATTTACACCAGCAATATTGATAGGCAATCCACGACATGGAAACGCGTCATCAGCATACGACGCAGTGAAGTCCCATGCGATGACCGGAATCTGACGCCTGACAATACACACATATACTTTTAATGAATTTACTTATGAAGTTTGTATTTTGCGTTGTATACATGTGTGTGTGCATGTATAAAAAATAGGAAGTAGATGCAAGCTTGGCGGAAAAATACGGCACTCATGTAACTAAACGCATGCCGTGTCCGTCAATGCCGTTGGTGCGTCAATTGTGGCATACAAATAAATTAATTGTAGAAAAATAAATGAAACGAGCAAAAAAAAAAAATAACAAACAGTAAGATTTTGAATGATGAGAGTTTTTAAATGTTTGCGTTCTAGTAGGCAATTAATTTAGTTCCCATTTTTTTTAATTTTTTTTTTTTGCAACTGTAAGCGTTAACATATTATTTAATTTTTTTTTGCCGCTCTTACGCATTAATTTACATTTCCACTTGTTAACGTATCGCAAGCATTTCAATTGTCAACAAAATGCAAACAAATAAAATTTAAATGGTATAATTAGCTGGCGTCACTCATACGCCCGGCCTTCCATTAAAAAATAGTGCCGGCAAATTGTATATAGCACTTAAAAAAATTGTCAGCTTGACGACAGAAAAAAATTGCTACAACAACATTCGAAATTTCCGGGGGATTCAGTGAAAAACATCTTCCCGAAGTGGTACAAAAAGTTTTTATATATAGAAAGTTTTTAAATTTGTTTAGATATATATGTATATATTGGACCCTTTGCGCAAAAGCATCGTATGTTAAATATTTTACGAAATTCACTTTTGATGAAATAAAGAAATAAGAAATAAGAATGTGAAAACATTTCTAAATAAAACTGCCTTCAGTTATATTTCTCAATTAACTCAGCAAATCTAAATTTTAGTATTGATGGTGCTCGCCAAAGCAGAGAAAAATACAAAACGCACTTTCCTGAAAAATTTGTTTTTTGTAACATACGATAATTTTGCAAAAAGGGGTCGTCGATATGAATTCAGAACTAATAGAAATATGCAGTTGCGGGCGTTTACATAAATTCGAATAGATAGGAGGTCTTGTTTAGAAGGAATTGAGAGGCCAGGCTGTAAAAATGCATAATACTTCTGAAATCATGAGGGCGGAAACTAGAAGAAAGTTTTGCTACTGAACCTACTGCGACGATGAAGCAACTGTTTCAGGAAAATAATTTTAACGCTCACTGGCACCTAAAGAGACTTTCAAAATGCCTGCGGT